GTTTATGTAAATCTATACACGTGTTTTTCAAAGCTATAGTACAGTTCGCTCAGATTTCTCAAATGCCAAAATAGCAAACATACCCATTCAGACGCTATTGATTGGACTGTTACCAGGCAAAATTCAACCGCCTATAAGGAGTGCCAAAGAGCTAAAGTTTGTAGAATGTTAGAAGAGACGTAGCGCGTATCCACGCACAACTGAAACGCCGCAGGAGTTCCATCCACACAAACAACAGGTGAATAACAATGCAAATCGGTATTGAAGAGTCTCTTTGGGAATTAGCTGTGTGCAAAAATCGGAACTCCGGTGGCGCTACAGAGTAAAAATGCATCTTAGATTCTTCAAATAGCTATAATACTGACCTCTCGCGATAAAAGTGGTAGAGGCCGAGGAGTGGGTACAAGAATCCAAAATATGCACAGTTGATCTGCAAATCCTCTAAAGCCGCATTGCTCTATCAAATTATTAGAGAGTTTCAGGAAATACCTGTCTTTAGTAAGTTAGTGGTTTCTAGAATGCCACTTTGCGTCTGGTTTTTATCCTATGCTTTACTCGACTCCCAAGTTCAAAACTGATCAAAACCTGATCCGAGAGCATAGTGGCAATGAACAGTTTAATTGTTATCATCTGTATGAACTAAGCTCAAACGATTACATTTCCCTGTTATAAAATATACAATAGGCAGCATTACAGGAAACCAATTTGGATTTGAATGTTAACACTTTAACGGTGAATTTGATCAGTGTCAGGCCGCAATTATTTCCATAGGTGCCGCCCTTGCACCCTTCTAGGGCGGGAAACGACTTCAGTCTCCGAGGGATCCCCGTGACTGTATTTCCTCCGGCGCCAAGGTAATGTTTTAAAAGAGAAGACAAATTGTCGTCATTTTATTTCAAAAGGTCTAAAAAGCAGCCTATAACCCTAGTCTAAAGTGTCACGAAACAGTAGTAGATTGCGCACAGAAATCAACTACCTCTTTCATGAGATTAAATTCTTTTTGGTCCCCGTTAACTCGCAAGGACATTTGCACACACTTTTGTCCCCTTCAGGGACTGCCACCCTCATTTTTTATTTGGCCGGGGGGGCGGAGAACGCACCACAGGAAAAGAGGCATGAAGTGTTAGAAGAATCGTCAACGCACAACAAAATAAAAATTAAAGAGGTAGTTTTACACTAACGGTAGAAACTAATCGACAATGATAAAAAAAAAACTGTCAACATATACGTGGCTAGTACTTGGAAACTCTATCGCCTTTATAATAGTTTGCGGGTTTGCTTGCGCTTTACGATCAAAGTCCACTTGATAGGATTTCACCCGCAGAGTTCAAGGGTCACTGAGCGGAGTGCATAATGATATAATCTACAGGAATTTCTAGCATTGAGATCAGCTACCTCAAAGAATCACATGTATTATAGTCTAGATTTTTCCAAAGGAAAGCCTTAGAACTCTTTCACAATCTGTTCTTATCCCGCACTCTAACTTGGAGTGCTCCCGGGGAGTGCTCTCTGCAGTAGGCCTTTTACTTTTTATTGAATTCTGAACAGGAGAATTCCCCGGGGAGAATTCCGCATTGTGCGGTTTGATAGTGTGTCCATCATGTCAGTTAAGTTGCTCAAGTTCGCCTGCTGCCGTTTCCGACACCATTCTCCATCTTGCTATTTGCTCGTGAGCTCAAATTCACCGGTACAAAAGAAACTTACTTTTCGGAAAACCTTACCGCGTTTATAAGCCACGGAGAAGATCATTGAAAGATCAAGAAGGCGGGGAGAGAGGCGGGGCTGTGCTTTAAGAGAACAACAGCTGATGTAATCCTCTCAATACGGATTGCTGGCTTTCAGTGTCACGCCATTCAAAATAGATCAAAATAAAAAGCAAAACCCCGTAGAGAAAGTCCAGAATCTGGGAAATGAAAGGAGGTAAATTTGCAAAGACTCTCGCCAAGATTCAGGTCAGAGGAATATTTCGTAAAAGAGATAGCCGAAGAAAGGTTTTACCCAAATTTATAGAGATTTGTATGGAGACGCCATGCAGGTGCCCACCTGGATGGGCTCCAACATGGCGGACGGAAATCAACAGAAAAATCTGTTACCGAGTTTTGCTACAAAAGCGTGAAATTATTCTTCGAGGAACTTATAGACATTAAAGGGATACGTTTTATAATACGTGAACTGTTTAGATAGCAAAATTCCTTGAAATAAGTTATTTTCTTAATCTACATGACAACTCTCTTGGCCGTCATTTAAATGCCGCGTCACGCAAAAGCTTACAAATTCAAGCGTACTCTATCACAGAACCAAGAACCCTTTTGAAGCGAAAATTGTATGAAAATTAGTTTTCAGCTGCTCTAATACGTCGTGAAAGTAAAATCTCGGTAGGATCGATAGTTTTGTAGTTTGAATTTTAGTGACGTCATGTGAAAACCAACAATAAATTCTGAGTTGCAAAATTTCTTAAAATAGTGAAACATTCAGCTGTAACCAACCCACATATTAACAGCGCAAGTATTACATATATGACCGTTTTGACGAATGAAAACTAAGTGTATTATGTTACAAGAGAAACATATTTTAATTCGTGAGGCTCCCTTAGTATCACATGGTAGTCAATTAGCGATGTTGACCATTTCAAAAATAACTTTGAGCTCTTGTATTGCTTTTGTGACTGTCAAGTTACAGTTAAAGTGTTAAAATGAATCATCTGTTATCTTATTGCGTTTCCATACTTTATATTTTGGAACAGATTTCCATTAAAACGTTTTTCTCTAATAATCTTATTGTAGTTGAAGAGAGCCTACATCCAAGGCAACCTTAAATCACTAGAAAATTAATTAACGATCGCATGTAAGTACCATGAGAAAGCCCTGCTTTAGAGGTTACACCATTAGCTACCACGGGCTGTGTTTAAAAAACTCAAAACTACGAGCTACCGGCCGGCATCGATCGTCTCTTAACGCAGTGTAAGCTTTGCCAATGCATAACCAAAACATCCTGACCTGCCCAGATTTTTGTGGTATTCATGTTTCCTTATTTCTGTACTTGGTAAACCCTATACTCACTTAAGGGCCAAAATGGGCGAAGGGGGTCGCCGAACTGAGCCGGGGGGTACTCGCCACTTTTGATTCCGGAGATAGGATTCAAAGGGCGTTGATAATTAGTCTCATAATATTATCAGCTCTTGCACAGTAAAAATGTAATTTAGAAGCTCGTCTAGAGGGAATCTGAATGGTAGATCAGTTAGCACACTATATTGAAATTTTCACACGATTGCTGCAAAAGGAAGGAAGACCTTATCTTGACCGATATTAAACACACATTCACTTAATTAACCTCCCTTGCGTTTGAACGGTTTCGTCCAGTAGTGAACAGAAAAATAATTTTGTTGAAGGAGTATCGCCTTAGACCTCACAAGACGAAAAAGCGATAAAACGACCAAAACTAATAAAGCATTTTTAAGCAAAATGATGGCAGTGTGAGCTGAAGAAACACTTTACAGTTTTATTTCTCCACTCGTCCAGCGCAAAGAAGTAATACGAACGAAATTTACTTATAAGATCTGTTCGCCTATATTTTATCTATTAGATACGCTGTAATTTTAGTTAAGTGCTTTTCTGCGGTACTGTTTGATTTCAAAATTTCTTCCAAATATAGTTTACATTCTAGACAATATAATGAAGAAAATGAGAACGACGCTTCGCATCTGTGACACATGTTCTTACATTTCAAAATTCATAGGAGCACTAGACAGTATTAAATTTTATAGCTCTGTTAACCCACCGGGGTAGATATCAAAGCCATTAAAAAAATCACGAAAAGTAGTCTCACGATACGGGCTGCAGTCTTTTTTTATTCACGACCAGTATTTTAAGTTGTCGGTATAATTACAATCCTGCATATCGTTTACTCCAGACATGAGTGCAGACCGTTAGAAAACCATGTAAGCTTTTGGACTGCCCAGACAATATCAGCTCCAATGAAAAATAAATTATTATTTCTCAGTTGGCAACATTCTCCGACTGGGGACTGCTCGAAGGATTTAGGAGAAAAAGAAACAAACTTTTCAATGTTTACAAGACTTCAGCTCCGGGATCAGGATCGCGGAGATCTGTTGTTGTTTAACCGTGTTTTAATTAATCAACTTTGTGACTTTTGATTTGATGTAAGGCGCACTTGGGTTAACAGTTCTGCAGTGACTTTCTGTTGACGGAAAATGCGTTTAAACACGCAACAAAACATATCACACATAAAGCCAAAATAATTGAAGGTTGAAAGACCTTTAATGGTTTACGCCGTTTAACTATTTGTCCGTGAAATCAGCTTTAGTCCAAGTCAGACATAGAAATATCTTTAAGTAGCTCGCTTTTTAGCCCGAGGCGAACGGAATTCTTGAAGAGAAAAATCGACCCTTCGTGTAGGCTTTCTTGGCTCACACAACCAAAAATTTATGAAGAAAGATCGTTTAAATAGGCATGCACTAAACATCGTGTCTCAAACGGATGCTGTCGTGAATTGTCTGACACACTCTTGGGGGCGAAACACATATTCGTGACAGCAAAATCGTGATACTGAAATCTCTGCACAGCTTTAGGAAAACAAGCACGATATAGTCAACATATACACAACATATACGGTTCAGCTTTAATTTTCGCGAAGGCAAACCCATCACAACTGTAAAGCAATAAATATTTATCTAAGGTTTACTTCGTGGTCATCAAAAGCGAAAAAACCGAGACAGAAGCTGAGAATTGAATTTTACAGACAGCTCAAGTCCATTTTAATATAAATTGATAGTTAATGTTATTATATTATGTATCGGCATGTGCAAAGGTACTATTCACTTCTTACATTCTGTATTGGCTATTTTTCACAAATTACAATATTTCTATTACGCCTACATTTTGCAGGCAGTTGAGGGTTTTATTTTAAGCGGTGAATCCAGTGCCAAAACACACGATCCACCGCGATAATTTTTGATGTCAAAATCTGTGACCGCGGTCGTCATTTGCTTCCGGTTCATTGCACTTTTGAAAAAATCTTTAAACCGCTCTTGTGAAGGTTTTAAGTTGCAGTCGTTCGCGGAAAAATTCACCCCAGCGCAACTTTTGTTCTCGAGAATCGCGCCATGGATTCGTCTCATGGCAGTTGTTAACATTTGCAAATAAAACGGCCCGCGTTTCTTTTGACAAAGCAAGCAGAAAGCGCCGAGTCTTAAAGCCAGCATCCGGACTAACGCCCTTGTCAGCCGTCACCTCTTCGCTTCATATCCGCTCCGAAAGATTTTCTTTCATTGAAGATTATCGTGAAATTCTAAGCTCCAAACTGAACTTGAAAGAGTAAATTTTTGACTTATTGTTTCTCATTTGTACCCTTGTTATGAATATTCCCTAGTCTGCTGTATAAATGCAAATTTGAGCACGTACAAAAAGTCAATTTGTGTTTTATCGAAGGTTGTTTAGGGCATCTGTTCTCATACTTAAGAACTTTCTAGGGTAGTTTTATTTTGCTTCCTCGCTTTTAAGGCAGCTTTCTACCTACTGAACTTGCATTAACTGTTTGTTTGGCTCCAGGAGCCGATTGAACTGTTGTGCAAATTCTTAAACACACATTTCCCTTGTAGGGCCCATTACTCAAGTGTGACCGGCTAATCACAGGCGATCGAACGGCACTGAAGGGCAAAAGGAAACCCATCGAGTACAACAGCACACATTTTGATTTTCTTGTAAAAACCAACATTTATTTCGCCACAAGCAGAAGCATGAAATGCGGGAATCCAGTCCAAAGCAAAGCTAAAAGAATGCATTTTCTACTTTTTTTTAGCTAAACGACGTTTTCAAAACCTATCATCTCTATTCTTTTATTATTTACATGAAGATTGATAGACGATAAATCAGTTTCTTTTGGCAAGAACTCATCTAAAAGGGAGGGACGCGATAAATTAGGACTTGAAGCAAAGTGACAGTAAGGATCTGATTTCTTAACAGCGTGTCAGCTGTGCGTTCAAACAAAACAGTTAACAGGTTTTTTTCTCGACATTAAAATAGAAAAATTGTAATGCATCAAAACAAAGAACAATTCTGCGAGAAATAAAATATCATCACATTTATAAGCAAATGTGCGTCAATTGCTTCGTGATTTTTACACTAATAATCCGAGTGAAATTTTAACTCGTGCGACCGGGAACACGTTAACTCTCGTGACATTGCCATAGCGTGTTGAACTCTTTAAAGCTCCTAAAATTTAGAAGCAAAACAAAGTTCGAGAAAGATTCTTGTAAGCGTTCCTACTGCTGCATAAAGCAACAAATCAAATTAATTGACGCTCCATAGGAGCTAATTTATCAAACATGAACCCTATCTCCTATCTTAGCAGTCTCTCACTTCCAAACGAGCGTGTGAAGACGCGAGGAAGAGCTCTGCGCGCTCGAGGAAGGAATAGGAATCAGAGGAATAGGTCGACCACTGCTCCCACTGACCTCTACCGAATCGCCAAATGAGAAGGGATAGCTGCCGTTCTCTGGTTGGTTTCTTTGGTGCAGAGCCGAGGGAGCGACCTGATTCGGCGGGTAAGAAGAAGGAAGCTTCTGCAGCTGCTCCATGAACTCCGTGTAGCTGGATGAGATCGGGCTGTTTTCAGGGTTATTCGACACGAACTTAGAGGCGCCACCGTGTGTTTGTGTGTAACCATGCGATGTATAAGTGACGCTGGGAGGAGAAGGCAACTGCAGGGGCTGTGTGTACGAATGCAAATATTGATCGAACTCTGTCGTGTCCACCATTAGATCTGTGGTCAGGTCGCTCATTTCGACGTGGAAATCGATCCCGTTGCTACTGCCAGTAGTGGGAACACTAACACCATTTGGTTCTGTTTTTTTTAGTGGAAAGCTGGACTGAGGGGCGCTGATCTCTGGTTCCGGGACGCTTGTCTCGGAGAACTTCAATCCACCTTCAACCTTTACTGTTGCAGTCGGGGTTGTCGGCGGAGAGGTAGCTGAACTGTTAGATTCAGGGCTGCTTACTTCTTCGCTTAAGCTGCTCTCGGGGCTCGCACAGTTGCTGTCTTGGCAGCCGGATTTTGACACCATTTGCCCGTCACCTTTGAGCACTTTTAACAGATCGTCAGCTGAGATAGTTGCCTCTGGCTGTTCCCCTCCACCGTTACCTTTCTGCTTCTTTCGTCTCGGTTGATATTTATAATCTGGGTGCTCTCTCTTATGTTTCAACCGCAGTCGTTCGGCCTCCTCGATAAAGGGTTTCTTTTCGGCATCATTCAGCAGTTTCCAGAGTTTTCCAAGTGTCTTACTCAATTCAGCGTTGTGAAGATGTGGGTACTGATCGGCCAGTTTTCTCCTGGCTGCTTGTGCCCAAACCATAAAGGCGTTCATCGGCCTTTTAACATGCGGTTTATGCTTGTGCCCGCCGTTGACTCTCACAGGCAGAGGAATTAAAGACCAGTCGTATCCATCCAGAACATGATTTACCGCAGAGGCGATTGCGCTGCTTAAGTCCATATTCTTTGGTTGAGCGAGTTCCGTTTCTTTCTTAGCGAGTTCAGCTTTAGTTTGTTCAGTCATTCTTGTTGAGTAACCGCAAGCAGTCCTGTCCTAAACACCGTCAAGTTAAAGATGAAAATTTCCCCAAGCACAAAAATCGAACTTCGTGCCAATTCGTAAATTGGCGTATGGTTATTCAAAACACAGATATAATAATATCCTGGCCAATCGAGCGAGACGGTGTATTATATTTCCTTGGGTTGTGATTGGTGGAATCATAAACCGCAACCAATCATTGGGCGGATGTTGAGGACATAAACACCCGGGATATGTAGGTGTGTTAAAACCACTCACTAAGTCCCCGTGATTGGTCAAAAGTCACGCGCCAAGTTGGAAGAACTGGCTATTTACGTAACACCTCGTACGAAAAAGAATTTTCACAGAATAGATCATTTCCTTTTCACAGTGTGCAATCACAGTTCCCGCGCGCATCGCACCTACAAATCCGTGAAAGTTTACAAACTGTTTTGTGCGTGTTTACTATTATTATCGCCGAAGCGTCATTCTGTTGACAGATTTGGCGCGAGTCGAACTTTCGCTGGCACGATACGACGCGATCGGCGTTAAAACAGTATCGAGTTTAGCCGATTTATTTACAGTTGCCAAGAGAAGTAATAGGCGCGCCCCTCCGCGATGTGTATATCAGAAAAAGAAATTTCTTCGGTATAATGCTTTCGCGTAGGAGCGCGCAGGACAAAAGGATATGCGTGAGGGAAATAAATAAATTTCAAAAAAAGGAGTTGGAAAAATCGCAGGAAAATAACAGGAAGGGCGAGCAGAGGTGGAACAAATGCCGTACGCGTTAGTATTGTAACGAAGTACAGTGTAAGAACGTAAGAGATAAATGAAAAGTGACCATTTCAAGCAGGATAATTATTTATATCAGTAGTGTCAGAGTTAAGTCCAAAGCTGTAGTTATTTAACCCTTCTTAGATCGAAGTTGATAAGAGCCTGGCAGCCAATACGCTTTGAGTTTACTTAAAAGGTCAGCACCGTCTACCCAGCTTGAGATTGGTCTGAATTTATGTCCTCCCTATTCTATCAACGCGTCAATTTGACGTTTGGACTTTTAGATTTTACACAAAATGGGGTCACGAAACAGAAAGGGAGGCTTATCGAAGGACCAGCGCGTCACGTTTGAAGTTTTTTATGTAATGGTATCCAGAGCGACAACAGTGACATTTCGGATGCTTATTTGCATTTCTTTCTTTCACATTTAACCAAACAATTGAGAAATACCTCATGTTGTTTCCCGAGGTCATACCAAGACTAGACGGGAAATAATTGAACTTGATAACAATATCTCGAACTCCCAGCAGCAAAAATATGATCGAGAGATAGCGCTTTTTGCAAGCGATAAATCAAGAACGATAAGAGATAACAAGCTAACATCACGGGAATACTAAAAACTTATGCAACATCTCAGTATCCCGGTGCGCGCGAAATATTGTCACATTACCGCTTGCTGTGTTTTCTCCAAACAAGCGGCGAGAGCCACCGCTAATGACAAAGGCTAATGATACAACTTCCGAAACATTATACACCAAGTCTGAGACGTAACAGTTATAGCCACGGCAAGTCCTGGCCGGCAGCATGTTGCGGTCTAAAGCGAATATCTGCTCTCTGCTTGAATGCTAAAGACAATTCTGTGAACATTACCAATCGGCAATTATCGGCAATGCCTTGTTGTAGCCGCTATTTAAAATGTGAATGAACATTTGCGGGCGCGTGAGGTCATGTTAATGTTGAACTAGGATGAACTTTTTCTCCCGAGTTAAAAATAAAATATCCTTTTTGGCTAGCTATCACTGCAGTCATGGGTAAGCCGATAACTGGAGACTTGATTTTTATTCATAAAATACATAGATAAATAAATAAATAAATAAATAAATAAATAAATACGATAAAAACGAACGACATCGGGCCAGGACCAGTGCTGTTGGACTGACGCCAAGAAAAGTTGTTCTACGTTCCTATAAAAAAAAACTTGTATACAAACTGTTTCTAAACAAGGAAATTCTGGGTCAAATGATTTTTACACTTTTACCAGCTTTTGCCGCGAAACGTGCATGGGTTTTTACGTATTTCCGGTAAGGGACTTCGGGAACGGGGAGTACTTCCGGTAAATTGTTACTAGGGATTAGTTCCATCCCACTGGATGAATAAATTGTGATATTTCCCCTGAAAAGCTGTTAGCAACCCTAGGGGATTAGAAAAAATCTACTTTGGCATTACAGTGTGGGTCAGAGAGGATGTTTCGATATTTGAGGCAGAAACACAGAGAGTTTTCCTTATGCTTTTCAAACAACCTGTTTTCACCCTTTCAGTTTCACCTCCAAAAGCGGCCTGAGTCAAAATTCAAAAAAATTTACAAATTTCGTTTAGTAAAATTCCAAAAAAAAAAAAATAAGACGGCAGAGAACAACTTCAGAAGAGGTTTCATTTGAATGGTCACACCATAGATTTTAGCCCACAGACGCAAAAGTTGGACCCACCTTACGAATTTCATCATTGGCTCTGGGAGTGATAGGTTTAATCCTGCTCATGAAATGGTTTGAACGAAAATTCAGCAACTTGACTCAGTAACATGAAGTTGTGAAGATGAAAAAAAAAACATTAAGTAGCCGGAATCACTGTCGGCTATATCAACTCAGACGCTCGTTTTCAGTGGAATTGTGATTTCGTAACAGTCTCGGCCGGCACTTCACAATTAAAGATTTCCTCGACTCAAAAGAAATGTAGAATCACCTAAACAAATTATTTCTTGTCATTTAAACCGTTCATGTTTGAGCATTTAGTCTACAGATTCATTAGTCTTGCTCCTAAGTTAAGATAGAGCTATCTTGCTCAAATTCCAAAAACAGGACTGCTAAATTACTGTAATAGCTTAGTGCTTGTCCAACATACGTTTACGGTTTACGCCTTCCTGACTTTTTATGGTTTTGTATTGTAGAATTATTAGAAGGGACATATTACTTAAATTGACATCCCTGATTTTACAATTTAAGGGGCAACAACTTCTCGATTCAAAAATAAAAGAAGTTTTCACTAACTCGATTCAACTCTCGTACATTTCTCAAAAAACGGAAAACCTAGAGTTTATCTGTGCCGTTCTCTGGTTGTCAACCAACTTCCTATAGAGCGTACAACGTTCTAGAAAAGCCAGCTTTAGAGAAAGGTGACTGTACAAGCAATTTAATGAAAAAGAGAGAATGAAAAAACAAACGAACAAGAAACCAGCTTTTCAGTCAGTTTTGGAGTGCAGAATTTCGACACCAAATACCATGTTATCACCAGTCAGGTGTGACCGATAAACTTTTTTGTGGCCGCTTTCTGTTTTTAGCTTTTCTTTTGTTGTTTTCCAAAATAAAAACTGATGTGCTAAAATTTGATTTTAAGTTCTTGTCGGCGGTTTAACCCTTGTTTAACCCCTAAGATAGACAAGATAAAATTTTAAAAATTGTCTGTCAATTCTCAACGGGGGAAATAACGATTATTTCTCGATGGATGGAATGTAGGCAGGAGAATGAAATTTTCCGCAAAGAACTTGTTACACCCATTAGTAATATGTGATAATTACCCGTCTAGCCTAGGATTCGTTCTAGAAGCTTCTTGGTGTTCTGATTACTGACCCAGCGCTGGGATTACTGCCAGCGGGAATCCTCCCTGAAATGGAGAATCGATAGAGAGCTATCAGTGCAAAAAAGTGATATACACCGTAAGATATACTTTCAATGCGGAAACACTGTCTTAAAAACGTTGCTGATAATTTAAAATGCACCGAGTTACTGTGAGTGCTAACTAGCATATTTCTTGTCATCATGACAAAAAAATATATTATATATTATTATGCTATCCTAGCTAGAGCTAAAAGTGGTAAGCTAATAAAAGTCATTAACTGTTTGAAAAACCAGTCTGTGTCTATAGATCAGTTTAACCTTTTTTAATGATGTCATCCGGTTAGTTAGTTTTCTTACACTTTTTGAGGAATTCTCGACGCGTTTGGCTTTGTTTAAATTACATGAAGGCAAGAGAGGGTATGGCAGGCTTTGGTAGGTCGAAAAATTGAAAATCACTTGAAGAAAGCACACAGACCAAGAAAAACCGTGTAAAAAACACATATTTTGTTTACGTGCGTTTTTCCTGATATAGCAGGCACAACACTATTCCGTCATTTGTTCATCAATGTTTACTTTTGATAGTTTAGTTAATAGTTTCTTTCCACAAATCTGCTTTAATGAAGATTTCAAGATAAAACATCACAAGTTAGCTGTGGTCTCTCTACGTTTAAGCACGCAAACACCTTTGCTATCTTCTCCGAGAAGAGCATCTCATTTTCATTTACTACATTGTTTCATTGTAAAATCAGCTTTGATAGGAATAATATTTTTGGCCTTAAATACACTACTGCTATTCAATTTTTCGACAGTGTGGAATACATCCCCAGACGATATCGTCGACACTTCGCATTTCTTAACCACTAAATTGTTGCACTTTGACCTCTGTTTTGTTTGATTGGACGAAATTGAGAGGATCTACATACAAAAGAGGAAATCATGCAAGAAAAAGAAAAAAAATTGCCTCAGAGTACACGAAAAATGTAGCTCTTTACTTAAGTTTAATTAACTTAAAATGGAGTTCATTGATGAAGCTAATCCCCTAGCGTTTTCAAGTGCTGATTACTAAAATGAAACAAAACAGCAAAATTTGATCAGAGGAAGACGGAATTATCAGAATTAAAGACAGACTCGTGTAAAACTAAAACTGGTCATGACTTGTCGACTGGTTCAACAACAACAACAACAAAAACCCATCTAATCATTGAGTTTGTCGTTTCAGCGCGTGTCAAAAGAGCTAAAAATAATCGCGATCGAAGCGTTCTCTAGCTCATTCTAGAGAACTGACCCCAACCTTAGTTAATCTTCATGCCATTTATTAAAATTTGCGGCAGAAATTCCTAATTTTAACCGTGGCTATTTAGCCTTAAATACGAGAGATCAACTTCTATCTAGTAGTCAGTTTACATGTTACTTGCTTGATTTAGTAGAGCATTTCTTAAGCTTCAGCGAATGGGCCATACTCTGCCAGTTGCCTTTCTGTATCACTCATCTACCTACTTAGCAGATAAATAGGAAGTTTTAATTGGCCCAAATGTTCTCTTCAAAGATAATAAAAAACGAGATGGGCTATCTAATAACGTTGACTTCAGTCTCTCTGAAAAG